AGACGCGGAAGCTGCGCACGACGCGGTGCCGCGCGCCGCGGCCCGCGACCTGCCCCGCGAGCGCGACCCCCGCGCCGAGCTTCACGGACTTGAGCTCGTCGCGCAGCGCGCCGACCTTGGCGTCCGCGGCGAGCGCGAGGGACGCCTCCAGGTCGGCGACGAGCTTCGAGTGCGCCTCGTCCTTCTGCTGGAGCGTCGCCTTGACGGCGGCGTCGTACTCGTGCGCGGCCTGCGAGAGCATCGTCCGGTGCGACTCCGCGGAGAGGCCCAGCTCCTGCTGGTGCGCGTCGACCAGGGCGACGGTGCGCTTCTCGTAGTCCTCGGAGCTGCGCTGGAGCTCCGCGGCGTGCCGCTTCGCCTGCGCGTCGCGGTCGGCCTCGCGCTCCGCGGCGTGCGCCTCGTCGCGCTCGCGGAGCGCGGCCGTGAGCCGCGCCGAGTGCTCGCGGTCCTTCTCGACGTGGAGCGCCTCGGTCGCGGATCGCATCTCGGCCTCGTGCTTGCGCTGCTGCGTCGCCATCGCATCCTCGTGCCGCGCCACGGTCTCCCTGAGAGAGCTCTCGCTGCTCGACGCCATGGCGGAACGCTGCTCCGCGAGCGCCGCGGCGTGTTTCTCGGCGAGCTCCTTCTCGCGGGCCTCCATGGCGGTGGCGTGCTCGTCGTCGCGGGCGCGGAGCGCGGACACGAGCGCCGAGCTGTGATCGTGGTCCTTTTCAAGAGCCATCATCTCCATCGCGGACGCGAGCGAAGTCGCGTGATTGTCCTGCATGGTGCCGACCTTCGTGTCGTGTTGGGTCTGTAGTGCCGCGAGTGCTTCGCCGTGGGCGGCATCCCGGGCGCTGAGCTCACTCTTGGTTCGCTCGTTAAAGCTCGCTTCGAGATCCTGGAGCTCCTTGGCGTGGGCCGCGTCCCGTTCACGGATGGCCTCGAGGCGCTCGCGGTCCTTATCGACCCCGAGGGTAGCCGTTGCCGACTGGAGCTCCGTCTCATGTTTGCGCTGCTGCGTGGCCATGGCATCCTCATGCCGAGCTGCCGTCTCCCCGACGGCCGTCTCGTGAGTTCTTCTTTGCGCGGCGATCGCGTCCTCGTGCCGGGCCACCGTCTCCCCAACGGTGTCCTCGTGCGACTTGGACAGCGACGCCTTTTGCTCGGCGAGCGCCGCGGCGTGTCTCTCGACGAGTTCCTTCTCGCGACTCTCCATCGCCGCGGCGTGCTCGTCGTCCCGAGCGCGCAGCGCGGACACGAGCGCTGAACTGTGGTCGTGGTCCTTCTCGAGCGCGAGCATCTCCGTCGCCGACGCGAGCTCGGTATCGTGCTTCGCTCGAAGCACGTCCTGCTGCTGCTGGTGCGCCTGCTGGGCTTGCTCGAGCTCCGCCGCGTGCTTTTCGGCCCGATCTTTCAGCTCGGCCTCGTGCGCGGCGACGAGCTCGTCCTCGCGCGCCTTGAGGGCCGCCGCGTGATCGCTGGCTTTCTCCTTGAGCTGGACCGTGCGCTCCTGGTCCTTCTCCGCGGCGGCCGACTCCACGGCGCTCGCCAGCTCGGCCGCGTGCCTCGATTCCGTCGACGCTCGCTGCTCTTCGTGTCGTCGCTGGGATCCTCGAGGGCTC